CATCCATCCATCCATCCATCCATCCATCCATCCCCTCCTGAGGCACTGAGGTCTCCTTGCTAACAGCATCACTGATATTCATCACTTGCTGGCTAAATCAGTATTTGTCCCCAAAAGGAGCTGACTGTGCCATCAGCCTGAGCTCGGTAAGTTATGTCACAGCAGCTGGAACAGAGTTCACCCATTATTCTGCCATTGAAGAGGGGGAATGTTGGCCACAGAGCTGAACAGCTGATCCTTACTGCTGGAAAAGGTACAGACTGCAAGAGCTCATTGCCAGGCAGCAAACCCCAACTCTCCCTAAATCCAGACCCTCCCAGCTAATTAAGGTAAAAAATCCAGCTCAAAAAGAGCCCTGAACTGCAGGTATACAGGGACAGGTGTGAGAAAAGCTGCAAGAAGGGAGAGATTCTGCTGGGAATTGAAGACAAACACTGGTGGAGCTGCCAGGAGTGGCAGCACAGGAGTACCTGGTGAGGAGATCCAGGACCTGCTGCTTCCTGCTGGGGATGGTGGCCAGGGCCTCCACGATGGTGCAGGCAGCCTGCCGGGCAGCCTGGGTGGCAGGAGTGAACAGCACCTGGGCCGGGGGCAGGAAAAGCCAGGTCAGACCCATGGGCACAGATGAACTTGTGACAGCTCACAGGAAGGCACAACACAGGGGCTGTTGGGTGACATGGTGGCAGCGCTTTCTTGGTTCTGTGACAATTCCTGCTCTGCTCAGCACCAAAGTGTTCAAGAGTGCACGGAGCTGCTGGTGCACACTCACAGGAAGCAAAGCTTTGCTGCAGGACCCTCAGAGGGGCAGCTCATCAGGCACAGGAGCACCATGGCAATCAAAGGCCCAGAGTTTAAGAACCCACAGACTCCCAGATCAACGTTGGTGCAGCATTTCTGAGGGAGCACAGCTGCAAAGCTGACTTTGCCTCAGAGGCAGTGAGTGCCAGCCTCCCCAGACAGCAAACACCCACAGTGTGTGACTGAGCCCTGGGCCCTCCCCACCTTTACCTGTCTCAGCCAATTGTTGTGTCCCAGCTTGAGATCCAGAGGACAAGTTCTCTTCCCACGGCGGCTCATGAACTGCTTCCACTTCCAGACGTATTTTTCTGACAAGTAGAGCTGGTGAAGCTCAGCTTTGCTGGGAGTTTTCCCGTTGGCATCTGCACCTGCAATGTTGAGCAGAGCCCAAGAGAGCTGTCAGCAGTCATGAGCTGCAAACTGCCAGAGGATTTTCATTTTATTTATTCCAGTCTTCCTACTGGAACTCGCCAAACTCCAGCTGGGAACTGAGTGCTCCCCATCTCCTCCTGCTGCCATTTGCACTCCTGTAGAGCCATGCTCAGTTCCAAGCCTCATGAAAATCCCAGAGCCTCTCTCAAGGAATCCCATCAGCTTTCCAGCTGGCTGCTATCAATTTAAGTAAGCAACAAGTTTCATTTTTTACAGTCCCTGATTCTCTTTGGGCACAGAGCATTTTCTGTTTAGGGTTTGAGGCACACAGCCCAGAAAAGTCAGTGCTACAGCTCTAAGGACTAAATGTGAGGATGGAATCAGATGTCACAGGACAGAAGCCAACACAACTCCACAGAAGCAGATTCCTTATTAAATCTGGGGACACACAGATTTATTAAATTAATATTCCTATTAAAACATTCCTATTAAATCTGGGCACAGGGCTCACCTCTGGCAGGGAGGCACTTCTTCCAAGCTTCATAGGATGCCTTGGGGTCCCTCTTGAGCCACAGCTGAGCCTGTGCATGGATTTCATTGCTGTAAGGCTTCACAGTGGTGAGAGCATCCATGGGCACATCCTAACAAATAAAAAAGCTCAGTGATTCTTCAGAAAGCCACAGTCTGCTCCCAAAGAGCAACCCCTGGGGCTGGGACAGGCAAATGCAGCTCTTGGACAGCAGCAGGGTAATGCAGTGTCTGTTAATGGTGAACTAAGAGAGATATTCCAATTCCTACTGAAATATCAATAAACCCATCACTGACATCCATCTGTGATCATCAGACAGGCAGATCAAAGCAGAAAAATACCTTCTCTCCTGCAAATCTAACCCTAAATAAAAATCAACAGCCATCAATCAATATATTTTAATGAGAACTGTAGCTCTGTATTTAAAAATCTGAGTCAAAAGTACTTAATTCTTTCACATTTAGGTACTCGATTCTACAAAGCTGCTGAAAGCCTAAAGCCTGCCCAAAATAACTAAGCTGTGGCTTTGAAGTAGGTCTATCCCCCTCAGATCTGAGGGGAAAACAGTAAACCCTCAACAGCTGTGGTCAAAGTCACCAAAACCCAGTGAAAAACAGAAAGTAGTCATCTGTAATTTGCAGTGTGTAATGAACAGTCACAGGGCTCGTGCTTCCCTAGAACAGTGACCAAGAAAATCAAGTCCTGCCTTCCTCACAAACCAATTCCTCACTGAGATCAGCGTGCCAGACTGCAATCAGCAAATTCTCAAGGCTTTGCTCAGCCTCAGGGCAGTACCTTGTTTTTCTTGCTGGTTGGAGCAGGTGGCTTGATGAGCTTCTGCAGGATGCGCAGGCACATGAGGGTGATGTTCTCAACAACCACCGGGGTCTTGATGTTCACTGCCATCAGGAAGAGGCTGAGAGCTGCAAGAGAGGGCTGTTCATTACCCTGGGGGAGCTCTGGGCAGCACTGAGGGGGGTTCAGAGGGGCAATGGTGCCCACACTCACCGCAGCGCAGGCGCAGCTCCCAGCAGCTGTCCTCCTTGGAGATGGAGTCTGTCAGCAGCAGCATCTCGTACTGCAGGCTGCTGGCCTGCAACACACACAGCTCCAGCTCCTGGGCTGCCCCACTCCCTGCTGCCCTCCCAGCTTTAACCAACTCAGGTGCAAAACACGTGGATCTAGGTTAGCTTAATGGCATGCACACTGGGGGGACGTGACCTGCTGGAGAGGTACAGGCAAAGCCAAGGCAGGGAACTGCCTGAGTACTGTGCACAAAATTCTGTGCTGCATTCTGACATTTATGTCATTTCCTGTGCAAACCCAGGGCACAGGAATATTTCTGTGTCTGCTGTGTCTGTGTCCTGACCCCCAGGGCAGCACTGACTCTGACCCTCATCCATGGAGAAAGTCTCCCAGACTTCAAGGTAGACTGGAATCCACAAAAGTGGGAAATAGGTTATAGAGAGTAGTGTAGGTGGATCACTGGGTGAGAAATGGAGGGTTTGGGGTTTTTAGTGTGTTGTGGATGGAAGCAAGATGGAGGGCACAGGGTGTTGTTTTGGGTTTCTTCTCCATGCTTCTTCTTCCTCCTTCTAAATGGGTTTGGGTGGCATTTTGTAATTGGGCAGAAAAGTCCCCACTGGGGGCTCTTTGGGATCAGTTATTGGGTTAAAAGAGAAAATAATCCAGGCGTCAGCTCTTAATTGGACAGTTTAGTCTTAAAAGCCCTTCTACCAAGAAATTGTTGGCCATTTTGTGCCTTCTAATGAAAAGCTGCTGAACTCACAGTAATGAGACTGTTTCAGAAATAATAAACACCTGAGTGTGAACACGAACTGCTGTCTCCAGTGCCTTCAATCCAGACCTAGGAAAAACCAATGACTGGTACCCCCCCCCATAATTTCCTATTGAAACTCAATTTTTTTCATACAAACAGACCATGAGAGAGAAGATGCAACGATTAGAGAAGCAGAAAAAAGAAACAAGAAAACACTGGAGTCTCTCACCAAGTCTGGATTTGCCCAGTGTCCCTTCAGAGCTGCAGAAACCTTCCCAATGATTAAATCATTCATTTGCTGTGTGGCCTCTGGATTGTCCCTGATTCCAGGAGGAAAAAGACAACACTGTTATGTTCAGCTGGTACTAAAGGCCAAAAGCTCCTGGGATTCCAGCTCAGCTGGTACCAAGGCACAGGGAGCTGGGGGCTACACTTTGCTGCTGTCCAACACACCCATGGCAGGGGAGGGACTCAGGTCCCTCCAACCCAGACCAATTTGAGATTCTAAGGTAACTCTCCCTGTGAGGCTTTCCCTTCCTCAGGGGCCTTTCCTGATGCCTTTTGGGACTACCCTAAAATACAGGCCAGACAAAACTAAGGGAATAATAAGTATTTAGTGAAGGGCCCTCAGGTATATCTCGGGCAGATGAAGCCCCCCAGGATCTGCACCCAAAAATGGGCCACAGCTCACGGGTTTTCACACTTTTATAACTTTGGTTCATTTGCATATTGGGGTTAACGCTCCAATTCCAGCTTCAGATAATGAAGTCATTCACCCCAGGTTTGCTCCCCCAGCTCCCTTTTGTTGAATCTCTGGGGGCCTGAGGCAGTGAGGGCTCCTTGAGGAATTGGAGAGGAATTGCTGTGTCTGCCCCAAACGGGAGAACAGCAGCTGGCCCTGCGTGTGGGGTTTGGAGTTACACACTAAAGAGCTGCAGCAGGGTTATTGTACAAATTACAAACTGCAAATACAAATAATAAAAAATGTATTAAATGAATATATGAAATCCTGAAGCTGTGTCCTTGTGTCAGACATCTTTTATGAAAAATCCTTTCCTTAGGATTTTT